AACTAAGTTCCAGCCTTCATTTTGCTGAAATCCCAACTCCTAAGAAATTCAGTGTCCGTGGCATGAACCCCTATCACTCAAGGACTGAATTTGATGTCCAGCCTGCAAGGCAGCACACAATACCTTGCTTATTGCAAGCGATCAGCAGCGCAGGTGCGTTTTTGAGCACAGTGCTATCGACGAGGACCTGGTACAGGAACTCCGCCACATCCTTCACCTCCCGCTGGAAGGCCACACTGTCCACCACAAACACAATGGCTCTGGAGGAAAGAGGGAAGAACATGTGCTGGGCCTGAAGCTCTGCAACCATCTTCCCCTGCAAGTATTCCAGCCTGGGCTAACACATTTGTTTCCACAACTGATCTCATCCAACCCAAGAGCAGGTTAGCATGTGCTGGCTGAAATACACCCCACATTCAGCCGCAGTAGAAAATCTTTCCCTCTCTGCCCCATGGATATACCACATCCCCTAAACCCTCCCCGCTGCAGTTGCTTTGCCTCCTGAGGCACTGCAAACACAGGTAAGCAGGAAAGCAGAACAGTAACTAACCCCCACCACCCCACTGCAGAGCTCTGACTCTTCAGGGCACCACCACACAGAGTGAATCCAGCCCAGCTCACAGCATCCTCGGCAGCATCGTTTGGTTCACCCCTGTCCAAAACATCCCCTGCTCCCTCCTGCTCTGCCAATCTCCTCCAAGTTACCTGGCTGCGGCCTTGAACCTCTCCAAGAACTGAAGCCGCAAACTCTTATGGCCTGGAAGGTCGATTAAGGTCACGTTAGCGCTCTGGGAACAGAAGCAAGAAGGTATCAACAACACCTAATCTAGGGGTACCTGTGATCACAGACCAGGGAAAACCAGTCTGACAGTGGATTCCAGTCAGCCTGGTGCTGGGGCAGCAGTGGGCGAATGAATCCCAATACGGGGCAGAAGCACGTAACTCTCCCAGAGGTGCAGCCTCTCCAACAGCCCAAACAATTCTGACAGGCAAAAAAAATGCTGAGGAACAACATTCATGGCCAGGACTCAGTAAGGAGGGCGTCAACACCAGCAAACCACCCACCAGAGCTGAGAGGGCAGAGCATGACCACAGAGAAAAGAGAATGTTCAACCCGTTTCTCATCCACAGTACCCCCCCTACAACTACCACACGCACGGTGTGAGTGACAAAGCTTCATCAGTCACCTCTCTTGGTACACCAGCAGATTTACACTGTCCCTGACAGCAAGCAGATCTCTGTACAGCAAAACCACAAACTCTTGTCCTGCAAGTCCCTGATACAGGATACTAATCCCACAGTCTCTGAATCGAGATATCTATTCACGCACAGAATCTACCTAACTGCAAGTCTACCTAAATACACATAACTTCGCTGGGAATAACACAAAAATGCCCTTGCGAGAGACTTTTTCAATTGAAAACTACAAACGTTTCCCTTTCCACAGGTTGCCAGCCAGAGAAAGCAGTGATGTTAAAGAGAACGAATGCCTCTCACGCTCCTGAGTGTGGCCAAGTAGGGCCACGTCACCATTGTCAAGATAACGCTCATTGTTCTCAAGAGGGGAGAGAACACTACACAAGACCCTATCTACTCACTGCTCTTTAACAGAAACCTTGTCTACAATTTAAAAAATGAAAAGCAGCAGTTCTCATTGCGGCATTCCAGCACCTCTCCCCCTCCAAATACCTCCTGCCTGCTCAATCTTAGAGACACAAATATAAAAAAAAAGCCCTGCACTTCCCTTTACTAAGTTTTTAGCCTCTTATTATTACCAGTTACTGAACACTGCCACAGAGAAGCCACAAAAACATCCTCTACTTTTACAATTCACCAGCATGTAGTGTGCTGCCAGCTTGCTGCTTTCACTGCCACATGTGTGCCCAGCAAGAGAAAGAAACTCTTCTGAAATGAAGGAGATCACCATAAATTGAAAATAACTAGGTCTGTGGCAGCTCAGGACCCGAAAGTAACCAAAACCCTTTTTGAGACCATATGAAGTTCAGCTGGGAGACTCTTTTTAAGCCTGCTAAAGCTTTTAAATTCAGATTATCTTGGGAGACACAGAAATTACTGCCCAGCAAATAAATCAAACACGACACAACAATGTTCCCTCACAATCTCCTTCCTGCTTCAAACCACACCACTGTCCCCACAGTGCTGTATGTTTTACTCCACTTGTAAAAGCAGCTCCTTTTCCTCTTCTATAGGAAAAAAAAACCTACAGGCTACCCGCCTTTCAAAACACAATACACAAATGTGGTTTTCAGTCAAAAAGGTTTCATAATTTGACAAGCAAAGAAAAAAGAACCTGTGGAGACGAGAATTCCCTAATAACTCCCAGAATTTTCCTACTTTCTCAGCGTGCACTGCCTAGAAAAATCCTATCCTACACTGATTTCAAGCTGGGAAAACTGAGCAGCCCCAAAAGCATCAAGTCAGGTTTAGCACAGGGAGCAGGAAAACAAAGGCACCAGCTGACTGTAGCAACCACACACAAGTTACAGCCAAAAACCTGCCCGCTCACCTTGTTGTTCCTGACTCTGTAAACTGCAGAGCTGTCGGTTATCGAAGTCTGGGTGTCACGGTATTTGCCTGTCAACAGCTGCGGAAAAAAAGTCATTTTCAGAAAAAGGACACTGGAGGAACACTGGCATCACATTTCATTCACTCAGAAACCGAAGCGATCTGTAAGGGGTAACAGAATTCAGATATCTGATTTCAATTTACATGCATGAAACAATTTCAGGCTTTTTTTTCCCCAAAGAATTTAAAAAACACTCACTAAGGAAAAAAAAAAACCTATTTATATACTGAATCTCCGCATTGCTAAAACAAGAAAGAAGACAGCGTGCCTGCAAATCCCTCGGAGCACCTTCACCTCCGTACAAGAGGACGCCAGACGGCTGGCAGGGCGGCGGGAGCCGACCAGCTCCCCCGCCCGGGGCTCCTTTCGCGGCCGCTACGAGCCCCCCCCAGCCC